ACATGATTTAACGTGTGGTCTCAGTGGACCTTACATGATTTAACGTGAAAGGAAAAATGATACTGGTGCAGAAAAAGCCTTTCTACGTGATGAGCGAGCCAATAAAAAAATAAAAAATAAATAAAAACTCCATTCCTTGATGGACATTGAGTCCCTGGGAGACTCTTTTTAGAGTTGCTGGCCCCGTTTAAACCAGTCAGAACTGGGTTATAATTTCATTATAATCCCGTCTCTGAGCAGATCAAATAACCCAGGGTCAATCCAGATAAAAATACTAACAACTCTATACTGTGTACTTTATATTCTGTACTCTGTAATAAGAACCCATAAAAATACATCAAATATTTTGTTTTGTTCTGAAACATTTATCTCAGAAATGTCCTTCAGCTGACTTTTTTTGTTGTTTTGTGCTACGTTTCATTTATAACTAGTGCCTCACTAAACTTAGCTTTTAACTGTTGTTTTGCTAATTTTAGCTTTGAGATACTCTTCTGATGTTTTTATAGCTACAGTTTTGTTAATTTTTAAATAAATGTTGAATGAATTAATTAATTCTTGATTTTAGCTATTACTTTGCTACATTTAGCTTTTAGCTATGGTTTTCCATATTTACCTTTTGTCTGTGGCTTTGCTAAATGTATCTTTTAGCTACCTTTCTGTGACATTAGTTCACAGCTATGGCTTTGCTTATTTTTAGTTTTGTTTACTGTTTTACTGTTTTGCTCCATTTAGCTTGTAGCTACAGTTTTTCTGATTTTAGCTTCTCGCCACAATGTTGCTAATGTTAGTGTTTAGCTACAATTATTCTAAATGTGGTTTTTAGCTTTGTATATATATATATATATATATATATATATATATAGCCTTTAACTATGGTTTAGCTATTTTTTGCGTTTACCTACTCTTTTATTTTTTCCACCTCAGCTTAGCAGATTTAAGCTTTTAGTTAATGTTCTGCTGAGTTCAGCCTCTGTTCTTCTAGTTGTAGCTTTAGCAGTTAGTTAAGTTTTTCTGCAGCAGGTTCCTTCAGCTGTCGATGCCACACCCGTTACGTTTCCACATGGGGAGTTTTCTTTGTTCACGTTTTGTCTCTCCTAAAAGGCTAAAAACTTCCGAGAATTATTTTCAGGACGTCTCAGATTCCTCAGAACTTTTCTGGGCCCAAACCGGTTTTCTCCGCTCCACAGTGGATTTGTTAGGTCTTCGGCTGTGGTTTGGACCCGTGTCCTTTAAACGTGCAGGAAGCTGAAAGTCATCGGCCCTCTTCAGTCCACTTAGAGGTTCTGGCTGAGAGCCCAGTGTCCCTTAAGAAAATGAACTGTTTCCACAGTTAGTGATGGAGATGTTTCATCAGGATCCATTTCTGCAGAGGAGGAGTCAGGTCCTGCATCATAATCAGTTTCTTCATACGACGGCTGAAGATGATTTATTCATGCTTTGGATCAGAACTCCTCAAGGACACTCTGTGCTGCAGCAGAACACACAGCAGAACCTACAGCAGAACACACATCAGAACCTACAGCAGAACACACATCAGAACCTACAGCAGAACACACATCAGAACCTACAGCAGAACACAGAACAAAACACACAGCAGAACCTACAGCAGAACACACATCAGAACCTACAGCAGAACACACATCAGAACCTACAGCAGAACACACATCAGAACCTACAGCAGAACACAAAGCAGAACACACACCAGAACAC